TGTAACTCTGTATTGTCTGTATTGTGCTTGTGATATGTTGTAAAATGTTGTATGTCTGTTAATGTTTCCCTCCTTTTATCCTTAAAATAAAAAAAAAACAAAAAAAAAATAGAAAGATAAAACAAAAAACAAAATAAAAACCCTTAACCATATTGATTAAAAAAAAAAAAAGATCACACATTGGGAGACAAAATTCTGTAACAATTAGTTGTCACTCACAAATACTTAGGAAAGATAAATTTCACAAGTATTCGTTACTTTAACCTTAAGAATGGCTCTTTTATTTGCTTATTTTTCTGTGGCACTGGGAAACTAAATGCAGGGCCTCGAGTATATGGAAGAAAATGCTGTCCTAGCAAGCTACACGTCCAGCCTGCAAACAGGGGCTCTAATATGGGTGAAGATTTAATATTCCTTATCCATCTTTAAGTTAACATGTAACTTTCTTTAACTCACAAAGATCCTTCTGCCTCAGCCTCCCAAGTGCTAGGATTACAGGCATGCGCCACCACGCCTGGCTCTTAAATTACTTTAGTAAACAACTAAACCAAGGAAAAGGAAAATGAGATTCCTATACCTTCTTCTAGGTTGAAACTAAGTTTTGTTTTCTTAACCCAGGGATGTCAAAACAGAGAGCAATAAGATCAATCTGCTGTCACCAATCAACCCAGAAACAATTTCTCTAAGTATGGCAAGCTGCAGAGCTTGTAGAAAATACACATTTCAGGAGTTTTGTATAAATGTCCAGAATCAGAATTTCGAGGATAGGGTTTGGGTAGTTGAATGTTTGTTAAAACGGTCCTGCAGACACACTGAAACTTCCTCCCTTGGTCCCTCGCTGCTTCCCGTCTCCCATCATGACCTGATTATCCTCTGCCATGCCCCTCTACCATGCTGCTCTGCCTTGGAGCCAGCCAATTATCAACTGAAACCTCTATAAATGGTGAATCAAAATAAACCTATCCCCCTTCATCTTTTGGGTGTCGGGTATTTCATTCCAACAATGAAAAATTAACTAACGCACAAGCCTGTTGGTTGGTGCCACCCGCACCATGGGTGGGTCTTCCCTCTTCAGTGAGCCCATCATTCAGACATACCCAGAACTATGCTAAATGAATCATCTGGAAATTTCTTATTCAAGGTTACCCCCCAGTTAACTATCACAAAATAGAAGTAAAACAACCAGAGAGTGAGTGGGTGGTGGAGAGAACCAGATTGATGTTAGTAGCTGACTATGAGAACCAGCATCACTGGTTTGAAAGGAAGTTGTAGAGATATGTAAAAACCACAAAGCTAATGCTGCAAGAATAAAATTGCAGTTTGCTGACTGACTACCTGGAGGTCAGGGAAGAATTGCTGAGGGTATTCAACATCAGGGGGAGTGGGCCTTAAAATAGTCAAGTTACTATCTTTTCTAGTCCTGACCACAGCAAGAAGAAAGCTTGAGCAGTCTTTCAATATAGTGAAGGCCCAAGCCCTGTGTCTAGTAAGTGTGTTGATTCCCAGGCTATGGTATGACTAAATGAAATAGGATCACCAGACTAAGTGAAGTTATATGAAATGGCAAATTGAAAAGAGCCTAAGCTTTGGAGTCATATAGCACTGCCTTTGAATCCTGGCTGTTTCTTAGCAGAAATGAGACCTGAAGCAAGAAACCAATCATCTTTTTGTGGGGCAGGGGGTATACCGGGAATCGAACTCAGGACCACAACCTTACCAGGCAGGTGCTGCATCACTGAGCCAAATCCCCAGCCCCCACCAATATCTTTTACAACCATCATTTGATTCCTTCCCACTCTCCCTTCCTACCACCCTCCTCTCTCTCTGTCCCAAGGCTTCTGGAATCCTAAGCACACAATCTATCAATAAGCTACATTCCCATCTTTGTACCTTACTTTCCTACATTCTATTACTGTGGTAATTAAATTATTTAATATTTGTAAAGCCTTTAAAATTTATAAAGCTGTACCCTTGTCTGGGAGGCAGGGATACAGCTCAGTGACACAGCACCTGCCTGGCTAGGGAGAGATCCCGAGTTTGATTCCTGGTACAAAACAAAGCAAAACAAAACAAAAACCAAACAAACTAAAAAAAAAAACCTGCATCTGGAACACAGTAGGCCTATTTGGTAAGAATCGTTTGTCTCACTGATTTTTTATTTTGGGCATTGAACCTAGGGCCTCATGCTTGCACTCTTACCAGCCATTTGGCCCACCACTGGACCAGCTCAGATTGTGGGGTGATAGACTAATCTACCTCATTCTTCCTTTATCCCCTACATGGATCTTATGATTTGTGTCTAAATGTCCCCTCAAAGCTTCATGCAGTCATGGGGCAGGCTTCTAGAATTTGTGATTGATTCATGGTCCAATGCTGGGATTGTGATTGATTCATGGTCCAGTGCTGGTCCAATCACACATGGTCAGTGTGATTATTATGAGCCCGCATACAACATAAGAGAGGGAAAGACGCTTGCTGGCTGCTGCTCCTCCCTGTCGCTCTTGTTGCTTTTGTGGTTTTCTGCCACCATGAACTGTTGCCCTCTGCAGTGTGCCACTCTGGCTAGGAGCCAGCTGAGTATGGACTGAAACCTCCACAAACTGTGAGCAAAATAAACCTTTCCTCCCTTAATTCTGGGCATCAGGTATTTTGTCTCCGCAATGACTGAAAAGTAACTAAGACAATGGATCTATGGCTGGGGTGCTGGGAAGATGTAATGTCTTTATTAGTTATAGTAGCACTAATCCTTTAACAAGTAAAGCATGGACCAGGAAATTTTGGCACTGCCCCAAAATAGCTACAGAGTGGAAAAAAATGTCTGTATTTTCTTACAGTTATTACCAGTTTTTAGAGTCCTAGAGGATGAATTTTAAGAAATTAGCCAGGTGTGATGGCACACACCTGTAATCCCAGCACTCAGGAGTCTGAAGCAGGAGGATTGCTGCAAGCTCAAGGGCAACATGGGCTATAAAGTGAGCTCAAGGCCAGCCTGAACTGCATAGTGAAACCCTGTCTCAAAAAAAAAGACAGAAAGAAGGAAGGAAGGAAGGAAGGAAGGAAGGAAGGAAGGAAGGAAGGAAGGAAGGAGGAAGGAAACAAAGAAAGAGAAAGAAAGAAAGAGGAAAGAAAAAAGAAATCAGATTGGCCCTTTCCTCCTTCTGGAATGGAAAGAGGAGACAACCTCTTGTCAGGTTTAAAACCACTCCAGGGTCTTCCATTTCAGCCTCTTGACTGTTTTCTGTTCTCTGAGAAGGTGCTGGCAGCCTCTTTGTCTTTCAGGTTTAAGTTTAGGATTTTTTTTTAACTTATAATGTATTCATTTATATAATAAATATTGTCCCCAATTTAAAAAGTCTCAATCTGTCAAGCTTAGCTGAAAAAGTCAGGTATTTTCTTTAGCATGTACTGACACGATATAAAACGTAAATGTCAATTTAATAGATATTATTATATAATTTAATACATACGCAGAATCTTGGACAAATGGTTAAAACTGAGGACCACCATTAAAGGTGAACGCAAGGATATTACATGTAGTTTAGTGTTTGACACCGGCCAAGGGCAGACCTAGGGTACTCATTTGGAGTTGCTGAAGAATCTCTCATCTGGAAAGCAGCAGGTCTTTCATTGGTCCCAAGCGCGCTCTTTTCCCGCCCTGTCCTTAACAGAGACTGCCCTGGCACTGTCCCTAGTTCTATTCCTGGCAGGGCCCTTTCACTCAAACTCTCGGGTGTATGTCGCTATTGCGCCTGCGCGGCGCTCTTCACGCTACAGCCGCGGGATGCCTAGCGCCTAGGCTGTTCTGTTAGTGCGCCTGCGCGGGAGGCCCCTGGGCTGGCAAAGTAGAGCCGACTTGCAGGCTGGTTCAGTTGTTAGTGCGCCTGCGCGCGGGGCCGGCGCCGTAGTTCTTGTCTGTGCAGCCCGGCTCCTGAGTGTAGCCATGCAGAGATCCGACTCCAAGCAACCCGCCAAGCGGCCCCGACGCGATGGCAGCCCAAGTACTCCACCAGACACTCCCTCAGGGACGAACAGGTCCCCGGTCTCGGAACTCCACCCGGACCACCGGACCTGGGACCCGGAGCAAGTGTGCTACTACTTGAAGGGCTGTGGCTTCACAAAACCGGGACTCCTGAAAAACTTCCGAGGTAGCGGGGCTGGAGGGCGGAGGGGCGAGGGGTGGCGACCCGAGGAGGGGGCCCGCTGGGCCTGAGGAGGGGCGCCCTGACAGAGGGGCCTCACGAGAGGACGCAGAGCGAGAAGCGAGTGACGCGGGAGGCACCAGAAGGGGTGGACCTGCGGCTGGGGCGCCCGGGAGCGAGACCCTGAGGCGGAGGGCGGAGAAGTGGGGCTCCGGGTGGAGGTCCGTGGGAAGGCGCAGGCTCTCGGGGCTGGGACCCTGGTAGGGACGAGTACAAATTCGACTCTTCCTCTGGTGGGTTTCTTCAGGAGCTTGCCACCTGAGCGCCGGACAGGGGAGACTCGGGTCTTTCCGCTTCCCGCCCGGAGCTGGGGATGCAGCCCAGGTCCGCTCGCACGCTAGGCAAATTCTCGCTCCACTGCTGGGCTGCGTCCCCAGCGCGCTTTTATTCGGAGATAGGGTCTCGCCGAATTGCCCGAACTGGTCTCGAATTTGCAATCCTCTTGGCTCACTAGAATCTGGGATGACAGGGAGAGGAATCCCCCCCCCCCTTTTTTTTTTTTTTTTAGAGTAAGTTAGAAAACTGTTATCCCCAGACCTTGGTTGGAGGCTTGGTGTCATGCAGGCTCACCGGGCTCAGGAGACCCTCTGTGCTAACCGCAGCTCCCTGAACACTCGCCACATGAGACGTTCTGGTGCTTTCAAGTTTCTGACTCCCCCTCCCCACCCCGAATTTTGAGGTTTTCCGAAAGTGGAGGGAGTTTATTTTGTTAACCTCTGAGTTCCTACAGACAACCCCATAGCAACCCCAGAATGTTCGGTGTATGTTGACTGCATGTGCAAAGCTTGATAATGATCATGTTTTCCTCTTTTTAAGAAGTTTCTTTTTCTCAATCTGAATGCTTGGGTGGAGTTGTTCAGTTGACCGCTAAATTCCCAGCATTTCCCAGTTTAACCACACTTGAAGTGCATTGAGAATTCTAAGCGGCTTTACTAGTTCTTGTCTAAGTATCCCTTCTCCCACTTGATTTTTTTTTTGTCTTTGAGACAGGGTCTCGCTCTGCAGTTCAGGCTGGCCTTGAGCTCACTTTGCAGCCCAGGCTGGTCTCGAACTCGCAACGATCCTCCTGCCTCAGCCTCCCAAGTGCTGGGATTACAGGTGTGCACCACCACGCCCGGCTATATTCTCCCACTTGAAATCTGCTCAACTTTTCATGGTGGGTGTGAAGCTCCTGCTGGATCCCTTTAGGTGTTCAATAGGAAGGTGGCTGTGCTTTGCAAATTCAGTAAACTTCTGATTGTGGGGGGAGCCTGTTTGCCTATGAAGCCTGGGGTGAGAGGAACTTTAATGATTCAGGACCTAAAGATAGTTTGAATGTGGGAAATTGTGCTTACCTTTTCCCTTTTCCTCCCCTCGTTTTACTCCACTGTAGGGATGGGCTTTTCTTTTGGGATGAGGGCTTTTCTTTTGACTAGTAACAGGGAATAAAGTTGTTTTATATATCCTGTTTTCAAAATATAATTGGCTATGTTCTTGCTTTTGTGTTTCAGTGTTCTGTAGATTAATTCATCAGCCTTCGGAGCGATCTTTTGAGCTCACAGTCTAGAGCTAACATAAGACACTGTGCTTTCAGTTGGTAAAAACTGACCAAGTGTTCCTATTTGCTCCTATCTTACTGCCTGCTTTGTCCTTTTTTTTTTTTTCAGCAGGGAATTGCACCAAGGGGCGCGCCACTCTACCAACTGAGCTAAATCTCCAGCCTTTTTTCTTTTCTTTCTTTTTTTTTTATTTGAGACAGGGTCTTGCCAAGTTGCCCAGGTGGGACTTGAGCTTGAGATCCTCCTGCCTCAGCCTTTCTAAGTGTTGGAATTACAAGCTTGCACCACCCAACCCTGATGTCTGCTTTGTCCTGACCAAACATTACTCAGGTTTCTTTCTTTCTGTACAGAACTCTGAACTCTTGTTTGCCCACAAATCTAAGCAAGCACTAAAAAAAGTGGAATTCCCCCCACTTCCTGTCACCTCCTGGGAAGCTGCTGACCACAGTGGGACACTGTCCTATCGGACTGGTCATACCCCTTGGTCAATGTCTTCCTGTTTGTTGAGCTTCTCTGAAGGTTTTGCTTTTCTCTCCTTGTCTTCATCCTAAAAAGAAAAACCTTGCTGTTTGATTTTGAGCAACTAGATTTCTGAGATTGGAGCTGTTTACAGTAGTTTTGTTTTATTTTGTTTTTTGTTTTTTGAGGCAGAGTCTCACTATGTAGTTCAAGCTGGTGTTCAATTCACTATGTAGCCCAGGCTGGCCTCAAACTTGAGGCCATCCTCCTGCCTCAGCCTCCTGAGTGCTGGGATTTTGCCACCACACCAGGCAGTAGTTTTTATTTATTTATTTTATTTATTTTTTTATCTATTTTTTTGTTTTTTTTCTCCAGTACCGGGAACCGAACTCATGACCTTGCACTTGCCAGGCAGGCGCTTTGCCGCTGAGCTAAATCCCCAGCCCCTAGTAGTTTTTATTTTTAATGAGTACTTTCTATCTGTAAGTCTAGATTGTTTTTGACAAAACCAAGCATAAGGGGTAAATGAAGCAATATATGCCAGTAATCATAGCTGCTTGGGAAGCTGAAGCTGGAGAAGAGCAAATTTGAGGTCAGTTTGAGCAGTTTAGCATGAGCCTGTCTCAAAGTAAAAAATTTAAAAAGGGCTGGTATGTAGCTCAGTGGTAAAATGTTTCTGGGTTCAATATCCAGTACCACAAAAAATTTTAAAAAAAAATTTTTAAGCTGGGTGTGGTAGCACATTCCTGTACTTTCAGCACTTGGGAGGCTGAGGTAGGAAGATTGCCACAAGTTCAAGGTCAGCCTGGGCTATATAGTTAATTCAGAGGCAGGCTGAACTATACAGCAAGACCCTGTCTCAAAAAACCAAAAGGAAAAAAAAGTTTTTTTAATGAAAATGCACACAATAAGTTCCTTTCCTCATGATAGGATATAGTCTCCCATGGACCCTAAAATCAGATGACATACTTTTTCAAATGATGTTTAAGAGGTCCCAAGGTGTTAAGTATCTTTCCAAAGGTTACACTGCCAGCAAAAGAAAAGAGGTGGATTTTTTCCCTCTAGTAGTAGGGATTGAAACTAGGGCTTCAAGCATTATAGCCAGTTCTCCATGGCTAAGTTACTTCCCTAGCCCTTTTTATTTTTGAGACAAAGTCCAAGATGGCCTTAAATTTACAATTTTCTTGTCTCAGCCTTCTGTATAGCTGGGATTATAGGTGTATAGCACTATTACCTCTCTGTAAGTACAGTGGAATTTTTGAAGGTTGAGTGTTTAGATTCCAGACTCATGCCAGCTTTTCCTCAACAAATGTTCTCCTCAAAAGCCATTGGCGAGGGGGCTGGGGATTTAGCTCAGCAGCTCAGCGCCTGCCTGGCAAGTGCAAGGTTGTGAGTTCAATTCCCAGTACTGGAAAAAAAAAAACAAAAACCATTGGCAAAGGCTGGAAATATAGCTCAGTGGCACAGGCGCCTACCTGGCAAGTGCAAGGTCCTGAGTTTGATTCCTGGTACCAAAAAAAAAAAAAAAATGTGTACCTTAAAAAACCATTGATGAACACAAAGTTAGAAAATCAACTAAGAGCAGGAAAAAACTACTCCAGTTAGAAAAAAAAAAAAGCAGTTGGGGCTGGGGATTTAGCTCAGCAGCACAGCACCTGCCTGGCAAGCGCAATGTCATGAGTTCAATTCCCGGTACTGGAAAAAAACCAAAAAAGAAAAAAAAAAAAAGTAAAACAAAAGCAGAACAGAAAAACAGACCATGGAAAACCTATCAGTGAACACAGGAAAGGCTATTCTGTCTCAATGATAATTTTTGCTCTTGATCTTAGCCAAAAGACCGAAAAATTATTACTAGTAATTTTGAGAATACTAATTTTTTGTCTAGATTGGAAAAGATGTAAAAAATTGATAATAAAATGGGTAATCCACTAAAGTTGACAAAAGTATTAATTGACTCAATCAGACAGTTTAGTTGACTTAGAAATATTTCACTTATAGAAATTACGTGTTTAATTAAGCCAGTGTCTAAACATTGTTTGCAAGTAGTAAAAATAACCCATGTACTCATCCATTGTAACAGTAGTAAATAATAGTAATGGCTAAGCTTTATTCAGTGTTTACTTTTAGTGAAGTATTGTTCTATGCAATCTACATGGTTTAATTAGTTAATTAATTTTTAAAAATTATTTATTTTTGCAATACTGAGGATTGAACCCAAGGCCTTCATACTAAACTACATCTTAGCCCATTTTTTATTTTGAGACAAGGTCTACGTTGCTTATTTTTTTGTTTATTTTGTAGCACTGAGAATAAGCCCCAGGTCCTGTATATTTTAAACACACACTCTACCACTGAGTAGTAGAGTACTCAATCCCCGTCAGGTTTATCTTCTAAAATTTTTACAATTCTGTGACATGAGGTCAAGTATATCAGTTTTAGAGGTAAAGAAAGTAAGGCCTAGAAAAAAATGATTAAATATATTTATGGTACATCTGTATTGTAGAATACAAAAATAGCTATTAAAAAGTATGTAGAGCTGGGCGTGGTGGCGCACACCTGTACTCCCAGCACGTGGGAGGCGGAGGCAGGAGGCCGTGAGTTGGAGGCCAGCCTGAACTGCAGAGCGAGACCCTGTCTCCAAAAGACAGAAAAAAAAAAAGTATGTAGAGTTCAATAATTGCCAAGAAAGATGTTTGTGACACTGGGTAGAAAAATAGGTTATAAGATGGTCTCATTTATGTAAAATTGCGTAATTGTGTTGATAAATGTACTATCCAGAATATTAACAGTGATTAGTAATTAGGAGAACATTAAGTAAATTGATATTTTGTGCTTTTTAAAAAAAGATTGGGATTTTATACTAAATAACTTTTTCATGACAGAAAAATACCAAAGGTAAATTTTTTTCCCTACCCTCACCCCAAACCCTGTTTAAAAAACAGAAAGCCACTCACCTGACAAGAGCACACAACTAAGCACGTTCACATTACTTTTTTGCCACTGGCTTTTCTTGCAAATAACTTCTATAAATAGTATATAAATTTTCACATGACTTATCAAAAATACTTTTTGGTTTAGTCATCTAATTAAAATTTTACAAGTAGCAAATAAAATATCATATACTTTTGCCTCAGTGAAAGAGATTGGTTCCAGGACCACAGCAAATAACCAAAATCTGAGGATGCTTATTCCCCATCTCATACCAGAGATTGATCTCAGGGCCTTTGCACTGAACTATATCCCTAGTCCTTTATATATGTTTTTAAAATTTTTTTTTTATTTTAAAGAGAATAACAAAAAAAGAACAGTAGCAAAATACCAACAGCATAGACAAAAACAAAACAAAGCAAAAACAAAATGATAGGAATTAACAGTGGTTGTTATATTACATATTGTTATCTTCAGTGAAGTTGCTCAGATTACCAGATATAAGACTGCAAGATTGATCAAACCATTAAAGAGAATAAAAAATAAAAACAAAAAAAACATTAGAAACAATACAGAGTTTCACTAGACAAGATGGTAGGAATTGCCAATGGTTGTTATATTGAATATTGTCTTCAAAGTAGTTGTTTTTTTTTGTTTTTTTGGTACTGGGAATCGAACTCAGGACCTTGTGCTTGCCAGGCAGGTGCTTGTGCCACTGAGCTATATCCCCAGCCCAGTTGTTCATATTTTTGAGACAGAATCTCACTATGTTGCTAAATTGCCCAACCTAGGCTCAAACTTGTGATCCTCCTGCCTCAGCCTCCCAGAGTGTTGGGATTACTGATATGTGCCACCATGTCCTGTTTTCAAGTCTCATACATAAAGTGGGGTAGTATTTGTATTTAATATGCCCATCCCTATCCATATCCATATACTTCCAATCATCTCTAACTTACTTATAATACCTAATACAATGTAAATGCTATATAGTTTGTTGTACTATATTGTTTAAGGGAACAATGAAGAGAAAAATAAATATGTGCATGTTTAATTACAGATGCAATTTTCTAGATATTTTCACAATATAGATATGGAATCTGTGTGAACCAACTGTACCTGGTATGGTCCAGCTGTACCTGGTATGGACCAACTGTACCTGGTATGGTCCATTTCCTGTAATAAATCCTCTATAAATATTGATCTGAGTAGATTTTAATGGATTCAAAGTGAAAGAAATTGAAAAACTTGTATTGTAAATTTTGTTTTTTTTCCTGGTACCAGAAATCGAACTCACAGCCTTGCGCTTGCCAGGCAAGCGCTGTGCTGCTGAGCTAAATCCCCAGCCCTTATGTTGTAAATACTTAATTTTGATTTTTTTTTTATTCTTCCATAGAAAATAAAATCACGGGTTCATTACTGCCCTTCCTCGATGAGTCTCTGCTCGAAAACCTTGGAGTAAGGTAAGAATGATGAAATTCACATTGTAACCAAACACAATCTATGTACCTTTGAGGGACAAATCCAAAGGTCTCTGATATTATCAGCATTTTAAATTTATGGAATGTTTTAAAGCAGAATCATACTGTTTGTTTTTACTGTGCAAATCCTGTGCTTAATATTACTGATAATACCTGTTTTATAGAATTTTGGTGGCAAACTTTCACAAAGTTTGTGATGACCAGCCTTTTACTCTCAAATTCAAAATAACTGAATTATACATGCTAGAAAATATATAGGAACCAATAGGAAGAAAAATATTGGCAAGAAAATCAGAGGTGCTACCCAACTGGGAACATATTTCTGTCTTTCTACTGCTGTCTTAAGACTGGAATATATCCATATATGTAAAATATTGAAGCACGTGAGTAGCCCTTAATAAATTATATACATAACAGATATCTCTACAAATGAGAAGGTTCGGGGCTGGGGATTTAGCTCAGCGGCAAAAGCGCCTGCCTGGCAAGCGCAAGGTCATGAGTTCGGTTCCCGGTACCGGA